TCTTTTTTTGTTGTGTCTCTGCCAGGTTTTGGTATTGGGATGATGCTGGCCTCATATAATGAGTTAGCCTAGGCTGGGCATGTTGGCTAACACCTGTAATCCCAGCACTTTGGAAGGCCGAGGCAGGTGGATCACCAGAGGTGAGGCGTTCGAGACCTGCCGGGCCAACATGGTGAAACCCCATCTCTACTAAAAGTACAAAAAGTTAGCCAGGTGTGGTGTTGCGCACCTGTTGTCCCAGCTACTCTGGAGGCTGAGGCATGAGAATCACTTCAACCTGGGAGGTGAAAGTTGCAGCGAGCTGAGATTGTGCCACTGTACTCCAACCTAGGTGACAGTGAGACTCCATCTCAAAAAAGAAAAAAAAAAAAAAGTTAGGGTGGAGTCCTTTCTTTTCAATTGTTTGGAACAGTTTCAGAAAAAATGGTAACAGCTCCACTTGTACCTCTGGTAGAATTCAGCTGTAATCCATCTGGGCCTGGGCTTTTTTGGGTTGGTAGGCTATTATTGCCTCAATTTCAGAATTTGTTATTGGTCTATCCAGGGTTTCAAATTCTTCCTTGTTCAGTCTTGGGAGGGTTTATGTGTCCAGAAATTTATCAATTTCTTCTAGATTTTCCAGTTTATTTGCATAGAGGTGCTGTTAGTATTCTCTGATGGTTGTTTATATTTCTGTGGGGTTAGTAGTAGTATTTACCTTATTGTTTCTGATTGTGTTCATTGGAATCTTCTCTCTTTTCTCCTTTATTATTCTTGATAACAGTCTATCAAGCTTATTGAATTTTATTCAAAAACCAGCTCCTGGATTCGTTAATTTTTTGAAGGGTTTTTTGAGTCTGCATCTCCTTCATTTCCACTCCAATCTTGGTTATTTCTTATCTTCTGTTAGCTATTGGGTTTGTTTGCTCTTGGTTCTCTAGTTCTTTCAGTTGTGATGTTAGGGTGTCAATTTGAGATCATTCTAGCTTTCTGCTTTGTGCCTTTAGTACTATAAAGTTCCCTCTTAACATTGATTTATCTGCATCCCAGAGATTCTGATGAGTTGTCTGTTTGCTTTCTTTGGTCTCAAAGAACTTCCTGATTTCTGCCTTAATTTCATTATTTACCCAGGAGTCATTCAGAAGCAGGAGCAGGTTGTTCTATTTCCCTGTAATTGTGTGGCTTCGAGGGGCTTTTTTTTTTTTTTTTTTTTTTTTTTTTTGATGGCTGGAGTGCAATGGTGTGATCTCTCCTCACTGCAACCTCTGCCTCCTGGGTTCAAGCAATTCTCCTGCCTCAGCCTCCCAAGTATCTGGGACTGCAGGTGCATGCCAACATGCTTGGCTAAATTTTTTTGGATTTTAGTAGACACACGGTTTCACCATGTTGCCCAGGCTGGTCAGAAACTCCTGAGCTCAGGCAATCTGCCCACCTCGGCCTCCCAAAGTGCTGGGATTACAGTTATTAGCCACCATGCCCGGCCTTAAGGGGGATTTAACTTTGAGTTATAATTTGATTGGTTGGAGAGACTGTTTGTTATGATTTCAGTTCTTTTGTATTTGCTGAGGAGAGTTTTACTTCCAATTATGTGATCGGTTTTAGAGTAAATGCCTTATGATGCCAAGAAAAAAATGTGTATTTTGTTGTTTTGGGATGGAGAGTTCTGTAGATATCTATCAGGTCTACCTGATCTAAATGTGTAACCTATTTGGTAAGGGGTCTGCTTTCACTAGAGAATTTTGAAATTAGGCAAGGAGGCAAAAGAGAATGGATAATGCTGAGTTCAAGTCCTGAATATCTTTGTTAATTTTCTGTCTCAATTATCTGCCTAATAGTGATGGTGGGGTATTAAAGTCTCCTACTATTATTGTTTGGGGGTCGAAGTCTCTTTGTAGGTCTCTAGGAACTTGTTTTATGAATCTGGATGCTTCTGTATTGGTTTCATAAATATTTACAATGGTTAGAAATTTTTGTTGAATTGAACTCTTTTACATTATGTAATGCCCTTCTTTGTCTTTTTTGACCTTTGTTGGTTTAAAGACTATTTTGTCAGACACTAGGATTGCTACCCCTGCTTTTTCCTTTTTTCCTTTTGCTTGGTAACTTTTTCTCTATTCCTTTATTTTGAGTCTATGTGCGTTTTTGCACATGAGACATGTCTCTTGAATACAGCACACTGATGGGTGACTTTGGGCATTGTTGACACCTTAACAGTATTAAGCCTTCCAATTGATAAATATATAGGATGCATTCCCATTTATTTTTGTCTTCTTTAATAGCTCTAGTCAGCATTTTCTCATTTTCAATGTATAAAGTTTTTAACTCCTTGGTCAGGTTTATTCTTAAGTGTTTCATTTCTTTGTGTTACTACTGTAAATAAAATCAGAGTATAATTTTCAGATTGTTCTTTGTTAGTGTATAGAATTACAACACGTTCTCGTTGTTAATGTTGCATCCTGTAATTTTGCTAATTTTATTATTTATCTTAAGTTTTCTACATATATAATTATGTCATATGCAAATAGAAATAATTTTAGTTCTTTCTTTTGAATTAAGATAATTTTTATTTCTTTTCTTGTTTAATTGTTTTGACTGAACTTTCAGTAATGTGTTAAGTAGATGCAGAGAAAGTGGACTTCCGTATCTTGTTGCAAATCTCAGAGTCAAAACTGCCAGTCTTTCATTATTATGATGAAGCTGTGGGTTAAAATTCCATCTGTGACATAATTTTTACATCACTTTAATGTTTTATGCAACAAATGAATAGACATGGTCTCAACAGACCACAGGGTGAAATGTTAGAAACATAACAAACTCTTGCTGACCCCAAAGACAAGGACATCAAATTATCTTTCCAGTTTTCCCTCATATTTGTCCATGTATTTTCAGACAATACATTCATCTGTTAATGCTTGATTTTCTATATCTCAAATTCCATTCCTTGATCCATGATACAGGCTCCCACGGATAGTGGCCTGCTCCCTCCTCCATCATCACCCCCAGGTTACTTACACTCCTCCCACTGTCACAGCAGAACTGCATTCCACTTTATGTCTGCACTGAGGGGTTGACAACATCATTTAATCTTATAGAATTTATTGCTACAATGCAAAAAAATATAAACTATTGTAAAACCTGGTTTGAGATATATATAGATATCTCTATATCTATCTATCTATATTTCTTCTGATATTTATTACTTTCATTTCAAAAGCTTTACAATTTTGTCTTGCATGTAATATTTAGAATTTTTAGGAAATTTTTCCAAGGAAATAGAGTTTTTAAATAATATTTTTCAGGAAAGTATTTCTCACTTATTTTTGTGAATTTGCATGCCATTTGAATATGATAGTTAACATATTTCATTTCAGAGAAAATTTTTTAAGAATATTAACTTCATTATTTTACTGAATGCATTTCTAAGAAAGTCCTTAAGCACATATTGTTCCTCCAATATGATTTCCCTACTTTTTAAAATCTTTCCTCAATAACAATATTTTCATATTGTTGTTCCTTTTGTTTACCTTCTAATACATTTTTCTTACTTTGCCTTTCGAAACTTTCACTTAATTTTTTTTATCATTTATTATATTTTTACTTTTCAATGGTCCATTATTGTTACCTGTTGCATCCTTTTAGATAGCAAATGATATTTATTTCATGGATTTCATAGCATATCATACGTCTCTGAAGATAATGAATTCTGATCACAACAATTCTTCTGCATTTTTTAATCATCATAATCTCAGTGTATTTATGAGTATGATCATGTGTGATTGATTATGCATATTTCTGTGTGTATGCATGCTGTGTGAATGTTAGTCGTATATGTGGCTATACTAGCTCAAAAATCTGGTGGTATTCGGCTCTAGGCTAATATTTAAGCTAAAAATCTCCAGTCCTTTTAGGCATACTGTGCAAAGTTGTTCTCTGATGTCTTCTATCTGGAGTAGAGTTTCTAACGCACCTCTACCCAGAAGTTTGCCAGAATTCTAGTTTCTGTTTTTACTTAGGAGATAGAACTTTCCTCAAAATTCATTCTTTTGAAGGATCCATAAAGCAATCTATAATGTTATCTAAGCACTAGAGAAGGAAAAGACAGAATGTGTAACCTATTTGGTAAGGGGTCTGCTTTCACTAGAGAATTTTGAAATTAGGCAAGGAGGCAAAAGAGAATGGATAATGATGAATGTTGAAAATCAAGAGTGTGAATTAACATGGCTTTGGTTAAAGGGACATAGCAATAAGGATTTATTCAGGATTTCTAAATAAATGAACCAAATAATGATAACTGATGAAATAATTGATAATTGGCATTATTGTGCAAACATCATTCAAGTTTCTCAAAATGACGGAGACGCTGCTGCAGTTTTAGAAGTAAATCTGGCAGAATAAACATGGGTTGGGTGAGGCAGCTCATGATTGCACTCCTAGCATTTGCAAGGCCGAGACAGGAGTATTGGTGAGGCCGAGTTCAAAACCAGCCTGGGCAACATAGCAAGACTTCATGTCTACAAAAAAAAAAGTTAGTATGGTGGCACGTGGTTGTAGTCTCAGCTACTCAGGAGGCTGAGGCAGGTGGATCGCTTGAGCCAGAATGTCAAGGATGCAGTGAGCAATGATATTGCCACTTCACTCCCGCCTGGGTAACAGAAAGAGACCCTGTCACTCAAAAAAATAAAAGTATAAATATGGAAAGATAATATATCTTCCTATAAAGATAATACTATTTTTTCAAATATAAATCTAAATGTATGCATTTATATTGACTTTCTATGCATATGTATTCAATATAACATCTGATTTTGATTGTATCTGAGTTAGTGTCAGGCAGTAAAATATTATTCTATTGAAGTTGTAATAGAGATATCTTTCTTATAAGTTTATATCTTTCTCAGAAAAAAATCTGGTAACAAATGTTGGTCTCATCAAATGTGAAACTCTGGGTAAAAAAACAAGATTTCTTTTTCAAAACAGGTACAAAATCAGATCAAAGAAGGCTGAGTACAATAAAACATTTTGAGAGAGAAAGAGACGATATTCAGATAATTTGTATTATACTATACTGTACACTCGTTCTATTTTATTATAAGTTACTCTTGTTTATCTCTTATTTGTCTTATTTAAAAATTAAACTTTATCAGAAGTATGTATGGACACAAAATAATATATATAGGGCTCAGTGTCAACCCCAGTCTCGAGAATTTACTGGGGGGCTTCAAATGCATCCGCTGCAGATAAAGATGGATTTCTGTGCTTAACTTATCCTTGTGTCTCCCTTCAGGAAAGAGCATATGAAAACCCCATGGAAAATTACAATCAAACATCAACTGATTTCATCTTATTGGGGTTGTTCCCGCCATCAAGAATTGGCCTTTTGCTCTTCATCCTCATTGTTCTCATTTTCCTCATGGCTCTATTTGGAAACCTATCCGTGATTCTTCTCATCTTTTTGGACACCCACCTCCACACACCCATGTATTTCCTACTTAGTCAGCTCTCCCTCATTGACCTAAGTTACATCTCCACCATTGTTCCAAAGATGGCTTCTGATTTTCTGCATGGAAACAAGTCTATCTCCTTCACTGGGTGTGGGATTCAGAGTTTCTTCTTCTTGGCATTAGGAGGTGCAGAAGCACTACTTTTGGCATCTATGGCCTATGATCGTCACATTGCTGTTTGCTTTCCTCTCCACTATCTCATCCGCATGAGCAAAGGAGTGTGTGTGCTGATGATAACAGGATCTTGGATCATAGGCTCTATCAATGCTTGTGCTCACACTGTATATATTCTCCATATTCCTTATTGCCGATCCAGGGCCATCAATCATTTCTTCTGTGATGTCCCAGCCATGGTGACGCTGGCCTGCACGGACACCTGGGTCTATGAGGGCACAGTGTTTTTGAGCACCACCATCTTTCTGGTGTTTCCCTTCATTGGTATTTCATGTTCCTATGGCCGGGTTCTCCTTGCTGTCTACCGCATGAAATCTGCAGAAGGGAGGAAGAAGGCCTACCTGACCTGCAGCACCCACCTCACTGTAGTGACTTTCTACTATGCACCTTTTCTCTACACCTATCTACGTCCAAGATCCCTGCGATCTCCAATAGAAGACAAGGTTCTGGCTGTTTTCCACACCATCCTCACCCCAATGCTCAACCCCATCATCTACAGCCTGAGAAACAAGGAGGTGATGGGGGCCCTGACACGAGTGAGTCAGAGACTCTGCTCTGTGAAAATGTAGAAACATTTTCTATTTAAGGCCCCAGGACTCAGCTACACATCCATCCAGCAGTGTATAGTAATTAAAACATTATTTCAATCCTAGAGTTCAGGAGCTAAAAGTAATCAAGGTAAGAGAAAAAAAATCACTGATTTCTGGACAAAATTGTTACACACACACACACACACACACATATATATAATTCTAAACAACCTTTTTTCTTCATGGCATTGTTTCCATAAATTTTGAAAGCACCTACTTTTGCTAATATGTTGTCAATGATAATTTTTGGTTTTGGTCATGCAGAAATGGAAATGAAATTTGTCTAAATTTGGCACTCAGCATAACAATTTCATTATGGTCAATTTGTTTTCCAGTAATTTTAAATTTACTTTGTTTATGTCTAAAACAAAACAAAAAATAAGTCTCTTGACTTGGTGTATCTAATTGAAAGCTGTAAGATGTCTTATCTTTCTTATCTTAGACACTTAACATACCAGTTACCCATTCTTTCAATTTAGGGAAGTTGTTTTTACGCAGTTTAGCAGAGAGCTCATCAGGGATTCTTAAGTCCTGATACCACTCTGGATGGCCTATGACAAGAGTATGTTCTTTATAGGGGAATGAATCCCGGGAAATGATTTAACATTAGGTATATTTAGATCAACAACAAGGACTGGAATGTGCCAGCAGTAATAAAAATGGTTACATTTAGGTCTTTAACCTGTTTTGGGTTGATTTTGGTATAATGTAAGGACGGGGAGTTTAGTTTCATTTTTCTGTCTAAAAATATCCAGTTTTCCCAGCACCGTATATTGAAGACACTGTCTTTTTCCCAATGAATGTTCTTGGTACTGCTGTCAAAAATCAGTTACACAGAAAGGTTTTGTGTGTTCTTACTCCTATGCGGGATCTAAAATTTTAAAAAACTGAACTAGTGGAAATAGATAAAAGACTGATGGTCACCAGAGGGTAGGAACGGTACAGGTGAGGGGTGGTAAAGTGGGGATGGTTATAGTTGCAAAAATATAATTAGATAGAATGAATAAGAATCAGTATTTGGTAGCACAATAGAGTAACTATAGTAAACAATAATTATTGTAGAATTTATTGTACGTATTAAAGAATAACTGAAAGTCTGCAATTAGAATGTTCCCAACACAAAGAAACAAGACATATTTGAGGTGGTTACCCCAATTACCCCAATTTGATCATTATGCATTGTATGTCTTTATCAAAACATCACATATACTCCACAATTATGTATTACTATTAAGTATCCATAGTAATTAAAATAAAAAAATCAGTTAGCTCTAGATACATGGATTTATTTCTGCGTTCTCTGTTCTGTTTCACTGTTTTATGTGTCTGTTTTTATGCCATTGCCATTCTGTTTTGGTTATTACTTGTTTGTAGTATAGTTGAAGTTTGGTACTATTATGGCTCCAGTTTTTTTCTTTTCATTCTAGAATGCTTTGACTATTTGGGTTCCATACAATAGTTCGATAGAAATCTTTAATAATGGTTTTTACTATTTATGTACAGAATGTCATTAGTATTTTGATAGACATTGCATTGAATCTGTAGTTTGGTCATTTAAATAATATTAGTTCTTCCAATCCATGAGCATTAGATTTCTTTCCATTCATTTGTATTCCTCTTCATTTTCTTTCACCAGTGATTTGTACAAACACATTATAGTGTTCTCTTCCATGATTACAGTTAACAGTAAAGTATTACATAGTTCAACGCTCTTTAAATTTCATTTCTATTTCTAAGCTATGGATATTTGTTTTGCCATATTGTAGCAGTTAAAACATAAATTTTGAATTTGTTTTACAAATCAGACTAAGTCTTTGTTGTGCTTTGTTGCAATGAGCAGTGTGTATTTTTATTTTGTAATGATTTACTAACAAAGTTTACTGCCTTAGCTTCCTGGCATTTCCTGTCCTGATATTCACTCAGATAGGTCATATTCCATGAATACAATGGGGAGGGGCTCTGGAACAGAGGGAAAATAGGCCTCCCATCATGAGTCACTCGCTGCTTCCAGGGAGATCACCTCCTTCCTTCCCCGTTAGAGACACTTGTACCCTACGGCCACCTGTGCCACTGCTTCTGTCGTCACCACCAATCTGAGCCCAGCCATACCCCAGCCACTCCTTGGAATCCTGTGGTGCTGGGAAGTATTACAAGGGGTGTGTGTGTGTGTGTGTGTGTGTGTGTGTGTGTGTGTGTGCCCCCTTGTGTACACACTACTACTGGACCAAAACTGCTTGCAAATGTGACCAATCTGTCCAGCTCTTCTGTCACATGCATACTCAGAGATGAAATTATTAAATATTCCAATGATAACAGCAGAGCATGAAACTATGCATGGAGCCCTTTGAGTGTGGAATCCTGTGCATATGCCCATGAGGCCAGTCTCGAGAAGGATGGAAAGAGTGAGCAGGAAGTGAATGACATCATGCAGTCTAGGATAGTGGTGGGAATGTGAGACGGTCTGGGTGTTTGTATATTCTCCCAAAATCCATATGCTTAAATCTTAACCCTTAATGTCATAGTATTAAGAGTTGGGGCCTTTTGGGAAATGATTAGGTCATGAGGATGGCACCCTCTTGAATAAGATTAATGCCTTTCTAAAGGAGGATCAAGGGAGCTTATTTGTCCCTTCTACCATGTGGGGTCACAGCAGATGGTACCATGTATGGTGTCATAGAAGGCACCATCTATGAACCAGAAAGCAAGATTTCTCCAGACACTGAATATTCAGTCACTGTGTCTTAAACTTCCCAGCTTCCGCAACTCTGAGAAATACATTTCTCTTGTTTATAGGTTGCTCAGTTTAAGATATTTTTGTCATAGAAGCTTGAATAGACCGAGATACAATGCCGGCTGTTTTTGTTAGTTGTTATTACTGGAAAGAGCCTGAGGGAGGACTGAATTGAGCGGTGGTGCCCAGTTCAGACCCTTTACCCATTCCAGGTGGTGATTCATGGAGGCAAGCAGGAGACCTAACTCTGTGATTTTCTGTGATGTACCATGGCCTTGGGGAAATCATTCCATCTCTCTGAAGTTAGTTTACTGAAAAACAATATGGAAGGCTTTACCTTGTTGGTAAATGGCATCATTGAAGTCCCACCTACTGACATTCCTGTATAGGCAACGGTAATCCTATTTTTCATGCCAATGTCTCTGTGAATGGATAAAGAGGTCACCAATGAATGCTGAGCATTTCAAGGCTATCAGAAATGACTTCAAAATTCTTTTACCCCCATAGGCTCTGGTTCAGGGAAGCAATAAGCCCCTCCCCGCTGGCATAGTATCTGCACTCAGAGGCCACTCCTTCCCCCTTATGGTCATTAAGAAGAATAATGGAGAAAAGTCAAATTTTCCAAATATACTGTCACTTGCTACATTGTTTATGAGAATGTAGTCCTGATAATTTTGAAAGTTGGATAATAATCCCTCTTGGGGAAATTAATGAATTCATTACCTCACAGAGTCCTTGGCTCACTGTTCATTGTGCCTGGTTTTAGCCAGTTTTCTTTCCCTCCAAATGTTATGCTGTGGTTATTTTTCACTTCACAGTCATTCTTTAATTGTTTCATGTCCTCAGGCTAGAAGATGCAAATTTTACAGCATGTGGTATCTATTAGCATTTCATGCCACACTGTGTGCATTTAGAAATTTCTTATGTATTAAATTAGCAAAGTTTGATTTATAGAAAGGGACATGAGTATTCTTTCTACTATAAAGAACAGTATCTTTCACATCACAACAAGCTGTGGTTCAATAGTGAAATAATTGAGTAGAGTGAAGGAGTGAATGACACACCATCCACAAATATGCTGAGTCAGCATATTTATTAGTTTGAGCTGAAAACATTTGAGAAATTTTGGTTAACAATGGAGAAAAAGGTTATCTCACCTGTCTTTTCAGCATACAGCAAGTTCTGAAGATTCCTCCAGGAGCCTCTGGTACGTTCTGATACTCTTCCAGTACCCTTTCTGTATCAGAATAGAAAACTGCCCTTCACCAGAGCCTGACAGCCGGAGGAATGCAGTGGGCCTGAATAAATAAACTACCAGAATTAACCCTCGTTTTTTACTATCTTTACACCCCCATATACCTCCCAGTGACTCCCTTGGAATGTATGGCTTCGAGCTAGTTTCTCTTTTTTTCTGTACTTTTTTCTGCAATTTATCATTCTTTTGCTAAAATTATAAAAAAAATCTTGCTTTGACCATTTATTTGGACTTCACACTCTTGTGAAGATTCCCATGTACATGTAAAATGAATAAAACTTATATGCTTTTCCCTCGTTAATCTGGCTCGTATCGATTTGTTTCCTAGACCTTGGCGAAAGGCTCACAGGGGATTTAAAGTGGGCGAGGTGGAGGTGATCCCTCGGTTTCTATAGAAGTAATAATTGGCTTTCTTTTGTAAGATTTACCTCGTAAATTTGTTTGAGTTCTTTGTAGGTTCTGGATATTAGCCCTTTGTCAGATGAGTAGATTGCAAAAATTTTCTCCCATTCTGTAGGTTGCCTGTTCACTCTGATGGTAGTTTCTTTTGCAGTGCAGAAGCTCTTTAGTTTAATGAGATCCCATTTGTCAATTTTGGCTTTTGCTGCCATTGCTTTTGGTGTTTTAGACATGAAGTCCTTGCCCATGCCTATGTCCTGAATGGTACTACCTAGGTTTTCCTCTAGGGTTTTTATGGTATTAGGTCTAACATTTAAGTCTCTAATCCATCTTGAATTAATTTTCGTATAAGGAGTAAGGAAATGATCCAGTTTCAGCTTTCTACTTATGGCTAGCCAATTTCCCCAGCACCATTTATTAAATAGGGAATCCTTTCCCCATTTCTTGTTGTGTCAGGTTTGTCAAAGATCAGATGGCTGTAGATGTGTGGTATTATTTCTGAGGACTCTGTTCTGTTCCATTGGTCTATATCTCTGTTTTGGTACCAGTACCATGCTGTTTTGGTTACTGTAGCCTTGTAGTATAGTTTGAAGTCAGGTAGCGTGATGCCTCCAGCTTTGTTCTTTTGACTTAGGATTGTCTTGGAGATGCGGGCTCTTTTTTGGTTCCATATGAACTTTAAAGCAGTTTTTTCCAATTCTGTGAAGAAACTCGTTGGTAGCTTGATGGGGATGGCATTGAATCTATAAATAACCTTGGGCAGTATGGCCATTTTCACGATATTGATTCTTCCTATCCATGAGCATGGTATGTTCTTCCATTTGTTTGTGTCCTCTTTTATTTCACTGAGCAGTGGTTTGTAGTTCTCCTTGAAGAGGTCCTTTACATCCCTTGTAAGTTGGATTCCTAGGTATTTGATTCTCTTTGAAGCAATTGTGAATGGAAGTTCATTCCTGATTTGGCTCTCTGTTTGTCTGTTACTGGTGTATAAGAATGCTTGTGATTTTTGCACATTGATTTACAAGAAAAAAACAACCCCATCAAAAACTGGGCAAAGGATATGAACAGACAGTTCTCAAAAGAAGACATTCATACAGCCAACAGACACATGAAAAAATGCTCATCATCACTGGCCATCAGAGAAATGCAAATCAACACCACAATGAGATACCATCTCACACCAGTTAGAATGGCAATCATTAAAAAGTCAGGAAACAACAGGTGCTGGAGAGGATGTGGAGAAATAGGAACACTTTTACACTGTTGGTGGGATTGTAAACTAGTTCAACCATTATGGAAAACAGTATGGCGATTCCTCAAGGATCTAGAACTAGATGTACCATATGACCCAGCCATCCCATTACTGGGTATATACCCAAAGGATTATAAATCATGCTGCTATAAAGACACATGCACACGTATGTTTATTGCGGCACTATTCACAATAGCAAAGACTTGGAATCAACCCAAATGTCCATCAGTGACAGACTGGATTAAGCAAATGTGGCACATATACACCATGGAATACTATGCAGCCATAAAAAAGGATGAGTTTGTGTCCTTTGTAGGGACATAGATGCAGCTGGAAACCATCATTCTTAGCAAACTATCACAAGAACAGAAAACCAAACACCGCATGTTCTCACTCATAGGTGGGAACTGAACAAATGAGATCACTTGGACTCGGGAAGGGGAACATCACACACCGGGGCCTATCATGGGGAGCGGGGAGGGGGGAGGGATTGCAATGGGAGTTATACCTTATGTAAATGACGAGTTGATGGGTGCTGACGCGTTGATGGATGCAGCACAGCAACATGGCACAAGTATACATATGTAACAAACCTGCACGTTATGCACATGTACCCTAGAACTTAAAGTATAATAAAAAATAATTAAAAAAAAAGAATGAGGATAGATATTATAGAGATTATATAGATATTATCCTCATTCTTAAAAGAAGATGAAAAACATGGCAACAAAATATATAATGTTAGTTTCATTTACTAGAGCCAAAGACACATGAATATATTATAAAACTAGTATCTAGTCAAAAAGCTAGAAATTATCAGGATAACTTTTGCACCCAAACAAAAAATTAAATTCATGTAAACTATAATGGATTTTTACATATACTATCAGTATGGCACAAAGTAACATGTAATTAATGATTTCAAATGAAAATTTCAATAAA